GAGAGAGAGAGGCCTTCCATCCACTGGTTCACTCCCCAAATGACTGCAACAGCCAGAGCTGAGCTGATCCAAAGCCAGGAGCCAAGATCTTCTTCCAGGTCTCCCATGTAGATGCAGGGGCCCAAACACCTGGGCCATCTTCTACTGCTTTTTCAGGCCATAGCAGAGACCTGGATCAGAAGTGGAGCAGCTGAGACTCTAACTGGCCCCCATATGGGATGCTGGCGCTGCAGGCCGTGTCTTTAACCTATTGTGCCATTGCACTGTTCCCTAAAGTAATCTTTAACAACAAAAGAAAGTCAGCTGGAGGCACCACAATACCAGATTTCCAAATGTAATACAGGACAGTCATAATCAAAACAGCCTGGTATTGGTACAGAAACAGATGGATAGACCAATGGAGCAGAACAGAAACACCAGAAATCAATCCAAGCATCTACAACCAGCTTATCTTTGATAAAAGACCAAAATCAATCATGGAAGCTAAGATAGTCTCTTCAACAAATGGTGCTGGGAAAACTGAAGAATGAAGCAAGATCTTATACCTTATTCAAAAACCCATTAAAAATGGATTAAAGACCTAAATCTATGACCTGATATCATCAAATTATAAGAGAACATTAAGGAAGCACTTTGAGACATTGGCAAATGCAGAGTTCTTGGAAAAGACCCTAGAGGCATAGGCAATCAAAGCCGAAATTGACAAATAGGATTACATCAAATTGAGAAGTTTCTGTATTGCAAAAGAAACATTCAACAAAGTGAAAAGGCGACTAACAGAAAGGGAGAAAATATTTGCAAACTATACAACTGATAAAGGATTAATAATCAGAATATATAAAGATATCAAGAAATTCAACAACAACTAAACAAACAACCCAGTGAAGATATGGGCAAAGGATCTAAATAGGCATTTTTCAAACTAGGAAATCCAAAAGGCCAACAGGTACATGGAAAAATTCAGGATCACTAACCGTCAGAAAAATGCAAATCAAGACCACAATGAGCTTTCACCTCACCCCATTTAGAATGGATTTCATACAGAAATCAACAAACAATAAATGCTGGGGAGGATGTGGGAAAAAAAGGTACCCTAATCCACTGTTGGTGGGAATGTAAATTGGTAAAGCCACTATCTGAACATATTCCTACCATATGACCCAGCCATCCACCCCTAGGAATTTACCCAAGACAAATGAAATCAGCATATGAAAGAATTATCTATATCCCCATGTTTATTGGAGCTCAATTTGTAATAGCTAAGACATGGAATCAACCCAAATGCCTATCAACTGAAAACCTGATAAAAAAAATTATGAGATATACACACCATGGAATACTAGAGAGGCTAAAATAAAAATGAAATCCAGTCATTTGCAACAAAATGATGCAACTGGAAAGCATCATACTTAGTGAAATAAGCCAGTCCCAAGTGGACTAATACCATATGTTATCCCTGACCTTTGAAAACTAATAGAGCACCCAAAAGGCAATCTGTAAAAGTGAAACTGACATTTTGAGAAGCAATGACTTTGAACAGTTCTTGTTTGGACTGTTGAGGGATACTTTGCCCTTTTTTTAAATTCTTTCTCATACTATCTGTTGAACTTTTACTCAAAATAGAGATAATCATATGTGTATAAAGTTAACTGAAAATAGATCTTATTAAAAAAAAAACAAGAATAGGAGTAAGAGAGGGAGAAAGCAGGAAGGGATTTGGTGGGAGGGTGGGCACAGTGGGAAGAATCACCATGTTCTTCAAGTTGCAACTGTGAAATGTATGAAGTTTGCAGCTGCAAAACTGTAGAGTTCATCATACATTCCTAAGGACTTACTTCTAAGGGTACAGTTTAAAATGTTGTACCTGAGTGAGTGCAAACACAGGAGCACCACACACACACACTGATAAAATTTTCTGGTTCTTTATTGCCAGTGGTGGAGAGCAAGCTCACACCATAAAGAACTCTTGACCTCAAAGCCCAAAGAAACAGGGTTTATAACGGCAAAAACCACAAAATTGGGAGGGGACTACATGTTTATTGGGGTCAAGTGACCTAAGGCCTATGTGATAATAATATTAATTATAATCTTAACAATACCAGTTACAATCTTAATAATTTCAATAATAAACTTGACATAATCCAGCTATTGGCTTAAATCATATGTAGGACATAGATAAATTACATTTTTATCATTAATCCAGGTGCAGCCTATCCATTTCTAAGCTTGATTGATCATGCTAAGGGGTTTCTATGCTTTGCCAAATGTGATGTAGTGGACTGCTATTGTCCGAGTGTTTCAGATCATAGTTTCAGACCAGAGTCTCATGGAGGAGGGTGTGCTTTCTCAAGATGGAGGCTCAGGTGCTCCAAAATGGGGTCCTACTGTCAAGGTGTTACTTCAAAAACTTACCATGGGACCCCAAACCTCCTAAAGTGGGTGATAAAAATAGCATTTTGAATGTTACAGTGAGCATGAGGGAAGGATAAATTGATAAAGTGATCGTATAGATAGGATTAAGTGTAAAAGTGATTGTATAAATAGGATTAAATATTTGGTAATAATGATAGAATTAAAAAGGAGTGAATGCTCCAACATGGGAAGCAGTCCATACAGCAGACTCATAGAATGGTAATTGCTTTAAACAGCACTGTAACCTCAGAATCAACCCTTAAGGCATTCTGGTCTGGCTGAAAAACCCATGAGAGCACTTCAGGCATGGAAAGCCAAGACACTGTGGCAAAAAGTTATCCTATATGAAGGACCTCTGTGGGTGAGACCGCAACCGAAAGTGGTCATCAAAGAAGAAGGTATTTTCTCTGAAGGGAGGAGAGAAATTCCACTTTGCTCGTGACCTTGTCTAAATTTGGAAGGAGTCTGTGAATTCAAAAAGCTTCCACAGCCTAGGCAGCTCGTGTCAAGAGCATCGGGTGATCACTAACAACATAAGAGTGCTAATTATTAAATTAACAACAGGAGTCACTAGGCACTAACTTGCAGGACCTCTGTCCTCAAAGAGCTGGATTATGAGAGTTAAAAGTAAAACTTGGCTGCAAAGATTTACCTCATTTTAATGTATTAAGTGGGCGATACCATCTATGTATCATAAACTAGAGCAATGTCTAAGTGTTTGCAAAAGAAGCACCATTCTTGGATTCTTTTCCAAAGTTAATTTAAATACATGCATACATATATGTGTGTGTGTGTGTGTGTGTGTGTGTGTGTATATATATATAAATTAAACCTCAGAAAGGTTTACTTTTTTAAAAGAACTTTATTGAGGCCAGTGATTTGGTATAGTGGGTAAATCTGCTGCCTTCAGTGCCACCATCCCATATTGCAGCCAGTTGGAGTCCTGGCTGCTCCACTTCCAATCCAGCTCTCTGCTATGGCATGGGAAAGCAGCAGATGGCTCATGTCCTTGGGCCTCTGCAGCCGCTGGAAGTCTGGAAGAAGCTCCTGGCTCCAGGCTTATGATCAGAGCAGCTCTGGTGGTTGTGGTCATTTGGGGAGTGAATCAGTGGATGGAAGATCAATCTCTCTCTCTCTCTCTGACTCTGCATCTCTGTAACTATGCCTTTTAAGTAAACAAATTAATCTTCAAAAAAGTACTGTCTTTCCTTATTGTGAAAACAATCCTGTTGTTGTTATATTGCACAGTAGGGTAATAATAGTTAACAATAACACACTTTACTTTTCTAAATAGCTAGAAGAAAGCCTTCTGAATGTTAATACTACAAAGAAACCTGGAATATATGAAGTGATGGATCCTAATTATCCTAATTTGTGCATTAAAATGTATACATGTATCAAAACACTACATTCTACCCCATAAATATTAACAATTATTGTTTGTCAATAAATAAAAAAAGAAGATGGCCCAAGTCCTTGGACCCCTGAACCCAACTGGGAGACCTGGAAGACGTTCCTATCTCCCGGCTTTGGATCACTGCAGCTCTGGTTGTTGCAGTCCTTTGGGGAGTGAACCAGCAAATGAAAGACTGATCTACCTCTCTCTCTCTCTCTCTCTCTCTCTCTCTCTCTCTACCTCTCCTTTTCTCTATGTGTAACTTTTTCAAATAAATAAATAAATCTTTTAAAAAAAAAGTTTTTTCCCCTTCCTGGAAGCACAAAAATTCCACTTCAGTTCTTCTGGTCTATGAAATGCTGTTTGAATATCTAGCAGTAATTAACAGCCTTTCATGCAAGTGGATAATATATGGGAGTGAATGTACTGTTTATGAGTATATCAATATCATTAAAAAACTGTACACTGGAAAAGAAAGGCAACGCTGAAGTGTAAAATTGCTAATGCAGGCTCATAGCCTGGAAAGTGATTTCTTTTAATAGTTTTCTTCATTTAACAGTTCTTCATTTGAAAATGTTCCAATTTCACTGCAGATTTTGTGGTTTGGTGCAGTGAAGAGGAAATTTATTCTTTTGACACATTTATTCTTCTAATAGTTATAGAATTTCACTGGAAACCTGTATATTTTTACAGTGTGCAAAGAGTCTTAATCTTAACAGTTTCTTTAAAAAATATTTATTCATTTAGGTAGTGTCTGACTCCTTACAATTGTTGCTCAGATTTTTAAGCTGGTTTCTTTGGGAGTTTCTGTTAACACAGTTATGCTAGCATTGACCTGGAGGATCTACAAGCAACAGAAAAGAGCCACATGGTTAGTAAAGAGACAACAATTTGACAAAGAAAATTTACTTAACTATTAGATGTCCTTAGCTATAGTGTTAATTATTCTTCAGATGTTGCAATCATGGAGTATCTGCAAGAGGATTGGTTTGGGCATATAGTACGTGGTAATGAAAAAAACATCCAATTTTCCCACATATATTTGTAGATAAGGCATCTATTACAAATGTTTTGTTTCTATATTTAATGTAACCATTCTAACTTCAAATGAGGAAGTTTATGATGTGTTCTCATTGTAAGGAAATTACAAATCTACTTATTCTTTCCACTATTGACCCATTTCTATCTACAGTTCCAAAGACAGCACCCACCAATGTAAGTGGAAGAAGTGGTCGAAGGCATGAGTTAGTGATTGCCTGGGAGGTAAGAAAGTCACTACTCACATGTCAGATTTGGTTAATTCTCCAAACACTATGCTTATGTATAAAATCTGTCCCTGGTACAGATAGGTCAACTTAATTGTTATTGAACAATCTGCATTACTCAGATGAGTATTGCCAAAATCAATCTTTCTCATTTTCATACCACACCCAGATGACTTTTCTCCAAGTCTCCAAGACACAGTTTGAGTGCCTTCTTTGAATGGGGATTTTGATACACAATTTTTGTTCTTCCATCTACCTGGTCAAATGACCTCTAAAGTATCTTTGGTCAAGGGAAAAAGAGTTGCGGTAGAGATGATATGAAGAGTACTTTTTTTCCATGAAGTTATTTTCCTTTTCTGTTAAATAATCATTAGAAAATACAACTGTGTAACTCATACACTATGCCTTAAAATCTTTAAAAATGGAAATATTTGTTAAAGAAAATAAATGCCTTGGAATCTCTACGAACAATGATAAACGATACAGAAATATTATCCCATTAGAAATCTTCTATAAGCACATCAACTGTCCTGTTCTTCTGTCCATTACCTTTTTTTTAAATAAAAACTGCTGTCTTGGCTTTCATTTCTCCATAAGTGTTAATTACCCAATAATTGACCTTGTATGAGATCCAATCTCACTAAATAAAACTGTCTTTCCCTATAAGATTTGGTATAGTAGGCTTTGCCTTTTTCCACTCACTAAACTGTTTTCATCAAATCAAAATTCAAAAGGGGAAAGAAAACACAACTACTTAGCAATTATTTATTATCTACTATATGTCAAGCTCTGTGCTAATCATTAGCTGTTAACTTTGCTCTGCTAAGTAGTCAATCATGATTACTCCTCTCTGTATTTGTAGTTGAAATCCATGTAACAAATTTAAATGTAAATCATATACCCCAAGAAGTTTCTTGAACAAATGCTATAGTCCAGTGCTTTCAAGTTAGTGAAGCACAAAAAGCCATTGAAAAGAGCATGAGAAGAAAGGCATTCCTTTCATACCACCTAGATTTGCTGGGCAGAGTGCTCTGTAGAGCATTTCCAATGACAAGATATTCCCAACCTCCAGATGACCGTAAGACTTTTTTCCCAATATGTTAAATTCTAGTGTAGAATGCAAGGATCTTCGTTTCATATGCATGCCTAATTGAAGCAAATTTGTTTCAGTACAAGAGTTTGCAGTACCCTTGAGAGGTTTCTTACATGCCAACTGATAGAATTTAATTTTTCAGCCCTTCCCTTTAAAATGTTTTAAATTTCCAAAAACTGCCAAGTGATTGTATTAAGTTAGCTTCCAATACAGTGTAAAGATTCTCTTTCTGTAGCTGCCAACAACAAAAGTTGAAGATTTGGTTAAAGTGTTTGTCTTATTCAGTCATTTTGCTGATAATTAGTTGTATTTTTCTTCTTTAGCCAGTATCTGAAGAGTTTCAAAATGGGGAAGGCTTTGGCTACATTGTGGCTTTCCGACCCAATGGAACACGTGGCTGGAAGGAGAAAATGGTGACATCCTCCGAAGCCTCCAAATTCATTTATCGAGATGAGAGTGTCCCTCCTCTTACTCCCTTTGAAGTGAAAGTCGGCGTGTACAACAATAAGGGGGATGGGCCTTTTAGCCAAATTGTGGTCATCTGTTCAGCTGAAGGAGGTCAGTTTCTTTCTTTAATGGTTTTATTCAGCATTTAATATTTTATTATTTGAATTTGCTTCTTTTATTATATGGATAATGTGACATCATTGTACACATATTAGGAAATACATACAAGCCAAAAGAGAAAATAAAACTCATTCATAATGCTGTTATGCTTTGCAAATATATTTTCCCAAACTTTTTCCCATCTCTTGTTGAAAAATGGTCATTTCACATACATTGCATTATATTCTTTTCTCCTTAACATATGGAAATATTTTTCCATGGTAATAATAATGTTTGTAGTTTCTATAGTGATGCTATTCCCTTGACGAATATTTAACAAATGCTCTTTTGTTTGAAGATTAGATACTTTTATAATTTAACAATATAAAAAAATAAATTTTAATTAAAGATTCAATTTATGTAGCTAGTAAACTTTTATTTCTAACCCCACTCAGCAAGCAATGTACTGATAAAGAAGTATCAGTACAAGTATCTGGTGGAAGCATTTTATATACAACATCATTAAATCCTCATGGAAATCATGTGGAATTGGCAGTATTTTCCCCATTATGCAGAAAGAGAAATTCAAGTACAGAAAAGTTAAGGAGCTCGCTAAAGTCCACACTCCTGATATTTGAGGATTAAATCCTGATCTGTCTAACCATTAAATTCTTGCTTTTTTTTAGCATGCTGCTTTCATCTGCATGACCTCATTTAATTTTCAGGATATAAGTATTAGGTGGGCAGTTTACAGATGAGAAACTTGAAACCATGCATTGCACGTGGTTATAGTCAATATGTGGTAAAGGTGAAGTCTAAATCCTGTTGCCTACATCCAAATCCTGAGTCCTTGTAAGTTTTCATACAAAAATGCAGTCTCCTGAGTGAGACAAAGAGTGGAAGAGCTAACCTCTCCAAAGTGAGCTTTTCCATTCTGTCATTCTATTCAAGGGCAGAATTTCAAATGATTCTGCAAGTTAAAAAAAATTGCCTTAGATTACCTAAACTCAAAAATTACTGAAAAACTCTCCCCCCAAAGGCAGCACTCATTTGATCTTCCAAATAAGTAAGGTCAATGCAAACTGATACACTGTCTTGCCTGTGTACACACACCTGTGAGCAGAACAGCTGAAGACACTTTTTAGTGATGTGAGTTTCATAGGGGAAAAGAAATAAGATCATTTTAATATTAAACAAAAAAGGCAATATTTGACTTAAATACAATGTTAAATACAATACAGGTTTCTGATGTGTTTTCAGATATGGCCAGTATACTACATTACTTAAACGAGGGTACAGCACAACCTTAGTGGAAAGTGAATTAAAATGCCACCTTATTTGGGGGCAAAGAAGGTGAAATCCATGAGCAGTTTTTCTATAAGAATTTTCTATAAACTTTTTGAATATCCTCCATATTCATCGATTTCAAAATCTTTTGAACCAAAATAACTTTATATTTTAATTCAAGTTTTCCATAAACACTATGAAGTGTCTTCATAACACATAATTTAACATTTAAAGCTGAAGATCAGGTTGGAATCTGAAACTCAAATTTACATTACAGGAAATTAAGTCAGAAAGGTACAGAGTTGTAAACAACAATAGCTAACTTACAGAGCTGAGTTACAGGTCTCTGTAACTCCAAAGTGCTTGCTTAAAAAAGCATGTGATACAGTCTGGCCAGGAATATATACAATAATGTTTTCTATTTATTGTTCCACAGATTTACTTTGAAGTACATGTTTTATTCAGCAAGTACATATTCTTGTTGCTGTAAAATTATTTCAAACTAATTATCAAGCACATAGACCCAAAGGTCATACGAGATGAATTGGAGAAGTCTGTGAACATGTTTTGTATGGCAACACCAGTGCTGCCTTTAAGAAATCCAGCTTTGTAAATTTCTTGTCAACCTTTCCTTTGAAATTAAATTATAACAGCCACCATGGATTTTTTTTAGTATTATTATTCTGTTTCCTGAAACTTGAAATGGCTTGCCTTTGGAGATTTCTCTTTCATGCTAGATAGAAAATATGCATATTTTATTTCAAAGGCATGAAGGTTGTTGCTGTAACATATTTCATAGTAACACTTCATTTATTTTAGTAGGCTGAAATATGAAAGACACTAGGCAAATTAAGTCCAGATAGAGTTTGCCTTTGTTCTGACAAAAAAATTCAAACATATACTTGGCATTTGCTCACTAATTAAATTTACAAATTTGGAACTTTATGTAAAAATATATGAGTAAAGTGTTGATATCATCCAATTGTGTCAACCAAGGAAGGTAGGGCAAAAAAACAGGAGAGTGTTTTCTGGGAGTTCACGGTGCCTGAGTTGAAATGTGGTCAACTTAACCATCTGATTGTGGTCAGTTTATTCACCTGGCTGGGTCTTATTTTCCCCCATTTAAAAAAAAATGAAGGTATCAAAATAGAATGCCTCCAGAAATCTATACAAATCTAAAACTGTTATTCTGTCAATATATTCTCTGTTAAAGTATTGTTAAGCAATTAGCCAAGAATAGGTAGCAGTAATAGATCAACGTATGCTATATCATAAAAAGGGGAGTCAAGCATCCCTTTATAATAACATTTCAAACTGCTTTACATAAAAGGAATAAACATTTTAAAGATTAAACCATGTTTTAAACCCGTCATAAACTCTTAAAATAGAAGGTCTTGTAATTGTACAAGTGCAACCTCCCTCCTCAATGTCTGCAGTAATCATACAGATCCAGTGCGCTCTTTATCATCATATTCTTGCCCAAAGCGCAAATGTTCTGATGGAGATCATATTCCTCCAAGTTAAAATCTGCTTCTTCATTCTTCTAGTAACGCTTCTATGTCCACTTGTTCATCATCTCAAAATTTCTCCATGTTATTAGAGGTCATAAAGAAGCAGAATGAGACTGCCTCTCAGTGCACTGGCTTAGTTCCTCCACATATAAAGAACACTAACTATATACCTGGAGCACTACGGAAAAGCCAACTTCTCACAGCTGACACCAAGCTGGGGCTGGTGGGGGAGAATATCAAGTGCAGTGGACAGATTTTATGTCATTTGGAATGAAGTACAGAACAGAAGGACTTCCAAAGTGTATCTGATAGTACTATTTTTCAAACTCAGTCCCAGTGGAGGATCAATGGTGGATGAGTCACATCCCAAAGCACACTTCTAAGAGGCTTCGTGTGTATTTCCCATGCCCTTCATGCTTTTATTTTCCTCTTGAGGAAGCTTATTGGAATGTGTATGAGAATTACATTATTCTAGGTGAAACCTTGAATCGACCTGTTATTAAATGGAGTTATCACTTAAAAGTACTGATACTCTGTAAACCACTTGGGATATGACCTTGACTCTCAATTCTGAAGTTGACTGTTGCTCCAACATACTATCAGAAAAGTTTCAAGTGTTTCCTCTGCCAACATCTTTGAGCCTTTGGAACCTTTCAATGTTTCCACAACAGAAGTAGCTTTTAATGGCCATGTTAATGCCAAGTAGCATCTGACATAAGCCTGGGAGGAGAGATATTTTCCTGCCAGGGTTTCCATACATCCTGTACATTATGTATATACCCTTTCAACCAAGCAAGACTTAAAGGATTCCTGACTCTGCTTTGACTTCAGACCTCTAGGGGATGATGTAGTCCTACCATTAGCTTCATTCTGAAAACAAGTCCAGTGTTTTTTGAAAGAATAAACAAGTTTCATCATAAGTAATTTTAAAATGAATACCAAAAAGTGATATTTTTCAAGATAAAAAATATCAAACCAACTTTCACTTTAAATTTATAAATTACTGGAGTCAAACTGATATCTGTTTTCTACTTAGTTCTTCCACCACACTTTGGAAAAAGGAAAAAAAAAATAACAGGACATTCAATTGTACCTAACAGGAACAAATAAGGAAATTTGAAAGATTTTAATTACATGTTGAAAATTTTATTTATTTTTGCTGTGTTTTATCCCTTTCTAAGTTTTCTGGCATTTGCCTTGTGTGGAAAAAAGTGCACTTCTTTTATTTTTATTAAACCCCCAAAGCCCAATCTCATTTGCAAAAATTGATATCCAATTATACCCTTGCAAATGGAGCTACCACAGCTCAAATTAAAACCCCGCATTCATAAGGTGTTGTTATCCAAATCAGTTCTTTGCTGAAACTGAGCTCAGTGGGATTTATGTGAACTTGGAAATTAATAAATTGGCATATTAGTTATAAAATACAAGGAATAATTTCCTGTCTTTGCCAGATGATATATTTGGATTAGTGCCTATAAAAGTTCAACTACAGCTGTCTTCACTGAATTTTTTAAATAATGAAACCATAACCCTTCTCCCAAGGAGTTTATTAAACTCTCCTTTGATTAATGCTGTTGTTCACCCCTCCTGGGAAGTCAGATGTATAATCAATATTACAAGCACATCCCCCCATATTACTAGGAGAACTCCAGCTGCTAGGGCACTTAATAACAAATGTATCATCTAAATTCATGAACATGGTAATGCATTAGAAATTTTTAATCTAACAGAAACTGAAATCTATCAATCAGTCTCTCCACTTCATATTCCAAGACTGGAGTGAAGGAGTTAGCCATGGCCTAATTAATATTATCATAAATATTATCCTTAAAAGGATCCTTTTAAGTCGTTAAGCATACTAGATATAGCACTAGCATAATCTCAGAAATAAGTTCCTGGACTTCCATCATGTAATCCAAATGTAATAGACAGAAGTAAGAATGACAGAAAGCATTCTGTGGTTCAGAGATCAGGAAAGTTTCAGATTCCTACATATGGAATGTAGGAATGGAATCCATTCATACATGATCTATGAGGAAGACATCAGCTGTTGTTGAAAACTGTCAAAGTCTGCCCCTTAGAAATAAAGGGACTTCATAAGAGTCCTATAGAGAGCTGAATAGGTTAGGTTGGAGATCTGGGTGTTTTCTGATAAGACCTGGAAAGTAGAGAGCCTAAGGAGGGAGCCCAACAACAGTATTCTTGGGAAGGGTTGTATGGAGGACAAGGGGGAGAAAGAGCAATGACAAAGCATGAAGCAGTGACAGAGAATGAAGCACTAGGTGGCTCTACAGACAAGCACAGAAACAGTGAAGTGGTGGTTGGGGCTTGTGTGCCTGTGTTCAAATCCTCCCTCCACTATTTGCAGCAGTGTGATCTTGATCCAGTTGTCTAACCTTAATTTTCTCATCTGAGAAATGCTGATAATAATATGATTGTTGGGAGGAAGAATTAATAGATAAGGAATGAAGGACCAGATTTACTGCCATTTATTAATGATTTGCTACATTGTAACTATGATCTTGAGTTCTTACCTTAATCTATTCCACCTCTTTTTTATGTGCTTGTTCCTAATCTTATTCAGAGGAAATTGGGCAGCAAGAGAATGAACTGTATATGTTTCCTGTAAAAATCCCTTTGTGCCTAAAATTCACTCTTAAAGATGAAGACTGAGCTAGCCACTTCCTTGGGGCCAATATAAAAACACAGAGAAGAACATTTGAGACATGAGTCCTACTACAAGCTCTTTCAGAGCTAGAACCAGAGTTTGGATAAGTCAACTTTTATACATGTAACTTTTCTCACCTGCAAAATGGGGGCATGGATTTATAACACAGGTCTGAACTCAAAAGCCTATAGGGGTGAGGCAAGAAATACACATAAGTATTCTCAGTATAAGACAATAGGGAGCAGCAGGGACTCTGATAAACTGAGAATCTCATGCCTTGGTTGAGGAACCAGATGCTAATCCTCATCTGCCAACATTTAACTCAAAATTGGTATCTTGGTTGTTTTCTTGGCTCATTTTGTTTGTTTTCAAGAAAAGCCAGAAATCACCATGTTATATGAGTGTTAGAATTTCAGTGTTGACTTACATTAACATACTGTCTAGACAAAAGATGACTGAAAACTCACTGGCCATTTATTTGTGGCTTTTGATCCACAACTTCTGAGTTGTGATCTTCCATCCTTTAGGCACAATGGAATTCCCAAGCAGAACAGTTGATTCCCGTAAACCAGACATTCTGTGAACCAGTAAATTACCCTTGTCTTCACACAAACTTCTGGAACTATTTGCACATGTTTACCTGACCAGAAATAGTACTTACTAAAACTTCCGGAACGAACTAACTGAAGTCACTTTTTTATGCTGAATTTTCCAATTCACGTCAGCATGGGTCTACTTTTGATACTATTTAGATCCAGAAGGTGACACAAATTAAAATGACTGTTCCATTCTTGTTTGATGCATTCACCCTCACTCAACTAGATGGGGGTCTAATGTGCAGCCCACAAGAATGTAACTGTCAAATATCAAGCTGGATCTCATCCTCACTTGAAATACTCAAAGCCTTTAAATAGAATGAAGGTGTTTGTGTGGGAAGCAGGTTTCTGAATACTTTTCATTTGCTTTTCTTTCATTTTTTACTTCTTCTAACTTTCTATTTAAGAAGTACTTAAATTTTGTAATTCTACTGAAAGCTGACAGAGACATTATTCCTTTCTCTAGAGACAAAAAGAGATAGAAAGTCTTCCACGCAAGTACATGCTTTGTGCTTCTGAAGTTATTTATCCCCCTGTAATCTTCTTTGACAAAGATATAATTGCTTCAATAATATAAAAGCTGAAAAAAGGCATTTGGCACACAAATCTCTGTAATGCATTCATTCTAAGGACAGCAAATGCTACCGAACAGCAAATGATGACCAACATGTATAGTTCTCTTGGAAATATTTCATACCTTAAGTCCTAGATGGCAAGTTGTACATGTCTCAAAAACATTGGCATTTCTTTCATTTACATGAAAAATCAAGAATATTAACTTCTATTAAATAGCAATGAAAAAATATTAGTTGTAAGTCTGCTGATTAGACTTCCAGAATGAAATGAAAGTAGCTTTCCTCAGAATGCAGTTTTTAAAAATTGGGTAGATGCACAAAAAATATAGAGTTGGAAAGTGGGATGAGGAGAACCACCAAGCAAAAGAAAATGATTAAAAGATATTCAATCAATGACAGAAGGAGAAAGTACAATTTATAACATGGCAGGAATTAATTTCAGCTTTTGTATAAAGATGTCAATTGCCCATAGCCCTCTGTATCAACACAATTACAGCATGTGAACCTAACAAAGACAAATCATTGCTTGAACACAAACATGTAGCTTTGAAAAAGTCTTCCATGGATTTCTTTTACAACACCAGAATAGATGTTCATGACATATTTCTCAATAATACACAAAAGCATTCCAAATAGATGTATGACCACCTTCCATGAGAAAAGATATCAGAGAGTGGTTATAATTCCTTCAATGTCTGTATTTTTGCCTTTAAAAATCTTATATAGAATTTTATCTTTCCCTTATGGTTACCTGAATTATAAATATTAATCTGAACTCATCAGTGGGATGGGATTAGTATTAGTCTCTATAGTCTTATGGAGTAGGACTTTTTAATAGGCCTTGTATAGAGCTGCTTGAACTAATGTATGGCCTTCATTCTGTAATTTCATTTAACATGTGTTTGTGATGGAATATTTACAATTCAGCCATGTCAAAGCTAGAAATATTTTGTTCTCCACATAAAATGCAACCTCAAATAAAGTGCACCTCTTGATGGATGCCATTCAGACATTGTGTATTTGAAAAAAAAAATAGTGCAAAAGGTCACTGAGCATAGAAACAAGTGAAAAGGTAGTTTTGAGCAAAAAACACTGAGACCTTCTGGGACTTTCCTTTTCAGCCTGCACCTGTCTTAAAAGTCAATGCATGCCTTTTAAATATCATGATTCATAACATATTCTTTATATAAGCATGAAATGTAGTTTTGTGGCTAGAACAAGAAATACCTCAAAAAGTTACTTTATTTATGTCTGCAAAGAGTAAAAACTAACGTGATATTTTGTGAAAATATATTTGAAGCATCAAATATGGCACTAAATATTTTGTAAGTATTATTCATTAGTTTAAACTAACCTTAAAAATCTATGAGATAAATACTCTGATTATGCACATGTTGAACATAGGGAATGAAGGCTCAGAATAAGGTAGAGCAACATGGCTACAAGTAAAAAAATATAAATAGTTACTGAAAGTAGAGCTTAAGTCCCTAGTTATTCTTTTGATCATTGTGATAGGCTGGCAGGCAATTTCAGTCAGTTACCCTTCCAGATTTGTCCTCGCTAATCCAAGGATAAAGATCTTTTCTTGCCATGCTAAACCCATTAATTGTCATTGGTAAGCTATTGATGAGATGACCCAAGTATAAAAATCCGAAGATCATATTTTTATCTTGTGTTTGCCGTGACTATCACAGCACTTCATCTGAAATACAAAGGAAGCTGACACCTGACAGACTCAGGTGCAGTGCTTTGCTAGACATAACTTAGTACAATCATGGTTTATTATTTCCATTTTCTTTTACACAGAACCCAGTGCTGCTCCCACAGATGTCAAGGCTACAAGTATGTCTATGTCAGAGATTCTTGTTGCATGGAAACATATTAAAGAGAGTCTAGGAAGACCACAGGGATTTGAGGTATGAACAGAATTACTGAAAATAAGCCTTGTTATTTCTACCGGCACTGTATCCTCCCAAAGAGATGGTTTCGTGACACTTCCACAGAATTACATTCCTTTGAAACTTTATTCTGTGTTAAAGAAAGTGAAAAGCACTGCTTACCTGAAAAGTATTATTTTGCCCATTAGCTGGTTTATTTTCCAGTAAGGTAGTTTCTTTAGCAGTGTGCAAGAATAAAAGTGATGTGAAAACAGAGCTTTATATAAAATCAGGAGCTACACGTAAATATTGACTGGTATATAATTCATTGGTAATTTTAAAATGTTGTCTTTCAATCTAATAATTTATTTTATTTTAGCTGACACATACGAATGTCCAATATTTATGAGGCACTAAGTGATGTTTTAAGGAATGTGTACATTGTCTAATGTCCCATAAGGGTAAGGCTATCTATCTCCTGAACAATTCAACATTTCTTTATGGTGAAAATACTGAAAATCCTTGCTTCTATTTTCTTCTTTTTATAGAGAAATATACAGTGTATTGTCAAAATCTACAGCCACCTTGCTGTGCAACAGAACACCAGAACTTCTTGCTCCAAATAATTTAATGTACAAAAACAAGTTATCCTCTCATATCTTCTTAGCATGTCTTACACATAGTGTTGAATTATCCAACTTTCCCTGGAATTCGATCATCTGTATCAATTTATTCAAATGACTCTTTTGACTCTTTAAATTTTATATTTTTAAGCGAAGGCTATGCCACTCTTATAATGGTGAGTATTTGCTAGCAATTCATTGACTTCAATGAAATTTTAGTGCCCACAAGTACTAGTGGATGGTGGGTAGTCTGAAAACTTGAATATTCTGGGGTAACAAGATCCCTGCTTCTCATACAGCTCTTCTTCTCATTCTTGTCTTGTTAGGCCAATCAGGGAAAGTAACTGGGAGAATAATTTATATAAGACAAAAAAGAATTGCCATTTGACCCAAGGTCTTAGCTTTATTTTAAAGTTTTACTTCTTATCTTTCCTCTATTTCAACTCCCATTAAGAGAAAAAGATCTTGTTTTTTTGACAATAATTATAAGATTGTACATGTACATGATTTACTGGTTTAAAATATATATTTTAATTATTTAGTCTTCTTCAACAATGTTAACTATTTGGCATATGTTAGATAAGATATATGTCAGATAAGATTGCTGTAATAAAGCATTTTTACAGTCTTTCTCCAATTTATAGCAAACACCATTTGTAAGAAACCACTAGCTACTGATACACCAACATGGGCTTATTTCCACAACCTTGCTTCAATGCATTATTTGCAGTGATAATTCAATAGGTTTCATTTTATCATTTCATGTTTGTTTAATATCTCTGTTTCTCCACATCCACACTGCAGTGACCATGTCTATTCATCACTGAATTTCAACAACTGATAGTATATGGCTGGTGATGTCTGTGTTGAATGAATGCATGTCTGTGTTTCACTGTCAATCTCCTTTAAGACAACTGGCCATGTCATTGTGGAGGCCTATGCAGCTCCCCTCCACCCCATGTGGGTGGCAGGGACCCAAGTATTTGGGCCATCTTTCTCTGCTTTCCCATGCATATTAGCAGGGACCTGGATCAGAAGTGGAGTAGCCAGGACTTGAACCAGAGCTTATGTGGGATGCTGACATTGCAGGCAGCAGCTTAACCTGCTGTCTCACAACACTGGCCCCAGATCTGGCACATTTTACAAATCTCAGTGCAGTGGTTGGAGAACAGACTATCAGGGAGAACTGTGAGGAGTCAATTGTTCCAACCCAGTGCCATTGAGCCTGCTTTTTACTGGAGCAGAGACAATGGAGTTAAGAGGTGCACCTCCAAGATATATTTGAAGGGAGGTATGACAGGATTTCATAATGAATTGGAAATGAGCTATGAAAAAGAAAATTAAAGGTAATTCCAGTGATTTTTGGACCAATAAACAAGATGACAGTGCCATTCACAAATCGGAGAAATACAGAAAGATGAGTAGGTTTTAGAGTGAAATCAAGGATTCTTATTAGGTATATTAAATGTTATAAGCCTTCTGTAGTTCTGAAAGGATTTGTCAAAATGATCTTTAGAACATATAGAAAGAAAGAAGAGATGAAGGGAGGAATATCATATTTTTAGAATTATATCTATGAACCATATTGAATCTGTTCCTTTGTATTAATATCACATGGACATGAAAAAAAATTATCAGATGGCGAAAAAAAAAAAAAAAAGAAGATGCCCCTTAAGAGAATATTGGGGGGTGGAGCTATCAGTCAAAATCATCGGTATGTAAGAGTTTTATGCATTTACTGGCTGAGATGCCCGAGAATGGTGCTCTGTGGTGCTTCACCATCAGGAGCTCCAGAGAGGAGGAGGGCTGGCCAAAGAAACTCAAGGCAGAGACAGTGAAGAAATCTAGATGCCAGCAGAATTTCGGGGTGGAGAGAATGTTCTACATAGTGAAATGCTGCTGAGAAACCAGAAAGCTGAGGCTTGAGATTGCTAAATGAATATGGTCATGTAAGACTGTATGACCTTGATGGGAGAGGTTTGATGGAAAGCTGCTGATCAGTGTTTGACTGCAGGTCAAGGTCAAGACCACTCAAGGGTGAAATATGAGAGTATGAGAGCATTTGTTTTCCTCAACATTTTTCATTCAAAGCAACAACTTGCGACAAGAAAAAATGGAATGTCCCTAAGAATAGAAAGTTAAAGGGAAAAAGTTAAATTCTGAAATCATTATCCCAATGACCACTTTTTTTTTACATAAAATCAATCAATATAAATTCAGTAAATTAATTTTATACATAGAAACAGGGCAGAATCCATGGGAACAGTGACTATTTTATAGTGCATTGGCGTTACAGGCTTTAAATTGCAGCATCTTGAGGCTGGAGTTGTGACATAGTGGGTAAAGCTGCTGCCTGCAGTATTGGCATACTATATGGGTACTAGTGGAGTCCCCACTGCTCCACTTCTGATCCAGCTCCCTGCTGGTGCACCTGGGAAATCAGTGGAGAATGGCCCAAGTGCTTGGGCTCCTGTACCTATGTGGGAGACCTGGGGAGAAGTTCCTGGCTCCTGGCTTCAGATCAGCGCAGCTATGGCTCTTGAGGCCATTTGGAGAGTGAGCCAGTGGGTGGAAGATCTCACACTCTCTCTGTGTCTCTCTCTGTGTCTCTCTTTCTCTAACTCTGCCTTTCAAATAAATAATCTTTTAAAAAATCAAAATAAAATGAAGCATCTTATGAGAAAAACTAACATCTGGTTAATTGATAAATGTTTTGTACAATCTAAAAATAGTAAAATAGTATGAAATTCATTGGCCAAATGATATTAGCTGTTATTTCCTCTGAAGTACACTTACCAAAGACTATTTTTGATTTGTACATTCTCATAACTAGGTGGTTGCATGTAGATTTCAGACTAAATGTAATATTGATAAAATCTGCCAGCATCTCTCCCATTCTTTCTTTCCTGCAATCTTCATCCCCTTAAAAAAAAGTTTGAGCTTTGCCCCCTCATCTCACCCTGGAACTCAGTGAACCCACCTATTTTCCCCTACTGAAAATGTCAATTAGTGAAATATCTACTGCTAAAATACGACAATTCCCTAAAGCTTAAAATTTTATATTGTTTCAATCTCACTCTTCTACCCTACCTGTACTATCATGTGTCTACCTACCTAGCGTCTATCTCTCTGTCTACACACACACACACCAGCTACCTTTACTAATGATAATAGTAAATTATTAGAATTCTGAGCATGGTGACAGAAAATAAAAAGCTATTTGAATCAAGAAAATTTGTCACTAACATCAATGAGATTGGTTTAAAACTCCATGTACTTGTATCATTGTGAGTTACTTTTCTTGCCATGATTTCAATTTTGCCTGCAAAATCTGAAGGAGCAAGTTATTAGTAAGGTACTTCATATCCTTTGAAAATAAAGAAAGTAGTGTTTTTGGCAGTCCCTCTTATATTTACTGAACTGGGATGTGTGACTAAGATATAAGATATTCTTCTCTTATGAATATTACATCCTAATGGGGAAGATAAATTTTACAAAACAAGAAAATAAATGATTAAGAAAAACTCAGATAACAATACAAGCAGAAGTTCAAAAGTAGAACAGACTTGGTCCTGTGAGGAACAGAAAGAAGCATAGTGAACATTGGAATGAAAAGCAAAGAAGCAAAGACAGGGTTGTGTATGGATAGTGGTATACCAATTGTTGAAAGATTTTGTACTCTATTTCAATAGCAGAAAGTCATTGGGACTTTTAAGGTGGAGAGGAGGAGAGGGACAATCCCTTATTTACATTTAATAAAAAATCATTTTGGCTGTTCTTAAGAATGAAAGCAGTAGTGGATGGGGAGGTCAGGGGTCAAAGTCAGCTTAGCTGAATAATCCAAGCAAGAAATGATGGTGACTCTGAACCACAGCCATGGAGCTGGAGAAAAGTGGTTATGCTTTAGAAATGATGCTATCAGGATTTGTTGCTTGCTCCTATGTGGAAGAAAGAGAAGTGATCACTGTTGCATCTTGGGATTGGTCAACCGGGTAATTGGGCCATTTGCCAAAAAAATTGGGGGAAATTGAACAAGGAACAGATTTGAAGCCTGGAAATCAAGAGTTCATTTTTGACCAATTTGAGCTGCCTATTTGGGATCTAAGACTGCAAATCAGGTAGCAGTAGGACACGTGAGTTTGTAGTCTAATCGAGAGATTAGAACTAAATAGAGAGAAATGGCATTTTAGCCATATTTAGTGATAGTAACCTAAGGACAAAATTGCAAAAGGAGAGGACAGAGGAAGAGAGAAGGGGAATAAGGAGGGCTATGCTGTGTCCTAGCACACTCAGCATTTAATAGTTTAGCTGAAGAGCGGAATCTGCAAGGAGAAATCAACTTGCAAAAGGAAAACCAAGTATGAGGTAAAAAACTGAAACAGCTAACTAAAAAGAAAGACATGGTCAGCTGAGCTT